GACCCATGGGCAGAAAGAGCTGCTGCACCAGGATTGTGAGGGGTGGCTGATTATATACGTGGGAGTTGGGGGGAGGTAAGGAAAAGGGAGGTTTTCAAAAGAAATTTCAAATGCTAAAGAGGACCTATAAGATACTGGAGGCCTTGCCATTGTCAAGTTAAGGCTGTTTTTCCCTCTAGTAAGGCATTAACATTAAGGCAGTTGGGAGCTTTCTGGAGGAACATTATACTCTGCCTGCCTCAAGTATTTGTGAATGGGCTGCAGATTATAAATGTAGATAAAATTAAGTTTAATTTTATCTACATTTCCTTCTGGAAGTTAGATTATTGATAAGAATGCTTTTTTTTTTCTTGTAAATCACTAGGACATTTTAAACTGAGGGAGACTCTTGTCTTGGAGGACTATAATCTCTATAAGTTAACCATTTGTTTTTCTTTCCTTTAGCTTTAGGGCAGCCAGGAATGCCTGAGGATTGTTACACATTTCCCACCTGGGGGGGGGGGCAGAGGGAGGGGGTTTGTGGGTGTCAGCTTGTGCTTTGTCCTCAACTTGCCTTCTGCTCCCTCATCACCACCAACTGAAACTCAGACTGGGCAGTAATCAATGTGACCATATGGACGAAGGAAATATCCTAAGGAAAGCAGAGAATCAAGATAGAAGCATTCTGGGTCCTTGACATGTGGAGGCACAAAATCAGCCCTGAATTATTTGTGCTTTGCCAGCTATGTGAAAGAGAACTAGACTTGTTAAAGCTATTGTTAATTTAGGTTTCTATTGTAACAGCCAAACTATATCCTCATACAATAGATGAACTCATACAAAATATCTGTATATTAAGCCCTTAATAAAATCTACAAAGTAAAATAAGATGTTATCTGATTATAATACAATAAACCTAGAAACTATTAATAAACCCAAAACAAATAATTCAACTACATAGATGCCTAAAAAATTTCTCTTAAAACAACTTTTGAGGAAAAACTCACACTTGTATAATACTTACAAATTGATAATAATGAAAATCTACACAAAAGAAATAATGGGACACTGATAAAGCAGTGGCCAGAGAAAAAAGAAAAGTCTTAAATACTTGTATTAATAAATATAAATATGTTAATATAAAAATGAAAGTAAGTAAACCATCCAACTCAAGAAATTATAAGAAGCTACATAAAACATAATTTAAAAAGATAAAAGAGAAATTCATGAATCATTAATAAAAAACATGAATAAATCTAAGAGCTGATTCCTAAAAAAAGAGAAAGAGATAAATCCATTATCTAGTTTAATCAAGAAACAAGAGGGAAAGCTCAAATAAATAAAATAAGGAAATAAAGACATAGAAGTGTAGGGGCCAAGAGCAGGCCATCCCAACATGGACCATTTTGGCACAAACATTATTTTGAGTTAAAAACAACGAAAATTCCAGCAGATACAGGAAAATCTCTTTGCCTCCCCCACAACAGCCAGCATGTACCAGGAAGAGAGCTATTAATAGAGATTGCTCTTAACCTAAGAAACTTACCACATTAATAGAGCAACAGTTGTTTTCCAAACATCTCTCACCTTCCTGCTAATGGTCTTTCTCCCCTTTGAATCCTCAGACCCAACCTTCCTACTCAGCTCCTTAAAGCCTCATGTTGCCTCACAGTCTCTGGAATTTCCACGTCTGCGTGGATTCCCTGTGCGTATGCTATTAAATTTGATTTTCTCCTGTTAATCTGTGTCATATTTATTTAGTCCAGGACCTTGAAGGGAAGAGGAATATTTCTTCTCCAACAGAAGAAATTAAAAGAATAAGAAACTATTTTAATAGCTTCTGTGTATAAATAAACTCAAAAACCTGGGTGAAATGAACAATTTTCTAGGATAAATATATCAAAATTAGTTCCCCCAAAGATAGAAAATCAATATAGACCATTTACCATATAATAAAAAGGCTGTATAATTAAGCTTTCTAAAAGTATCAGGTTTAGATAGTTTACTAAAACTCAGGTGCAAGCCATTTCAATGTTATTTTTTGTAATATCCCAGAACACATAAAAAGAAGGAATGGTCCCTAGCTTTTTAAATGAAATGTACATAACATTTATACCTAAAAATGAGAAAGAAAACACACTACAGACCAATCTCACTTCCAAATGCAAACAGCCTAACTAAAATTTAGCAATGAAATTTGGCAGTATATTAAAAGAATGATACATTTCATGAACAAGTGGGGTTTATTCTGGAAATGTGAAGATAACTCAATATTATAAAATATTAACATAATTTATTTTATTGATAGATATTGGAAAAAATATTTTCACAGAAACTGAAAAGGTATTTAGTAAAAATTCAATATCCACAGGAATGTGAGTACTTCTTTAATATATGCATATCTGCTTCCCTTACTCTTTCCAATATAGTGAATTACTAAACTGAGTTTTTTCCTGGATGATTTGGGAAAATTCTTTATTAGAATTCTTTATATCTGTGTGACATATGTATCAAGAATAGTTTTACGAGAGGGGCGCCTGGGTGGCTCAGTTGGTTAAGCGACTGCCTTCGGCTCAGGTCATGATCCTGGAGTCCCGGGATCGAGTCCCGCATCAGGCTCCCTGCTCGGCGGGGAGTCTGCTTCTCCCTCTGACCCTCCTCCCTCTCATGCTCTCTGTCTCTCATTGTCTCTCTCGCAAATAAATAAAGTCTTAAAAAAAAAAAAAAAAAGAATAGTTTTACGAGAATCTTTACTTTTTAAAAAAAAAGATTTTATTTATTTGAGAGAGAGAGAGAACATGAGCAGGGGGAGGGACAGAGGGAGAAGCAGACTCTCCGCTGAGCAGGGAGCGAGATGCAGGGCTCCATCCCAGGACCCTGAGATCTAGACCTGAGCTGAAGGCAGATGCTTAACTGACTGAGCCACCCAGGCACCCCTAGAATCTTTACATTTTTATGTGTTCAAATATATCAAACTTTCTTTTTTTTTTAGAGAAAGAGCATTTATGCATATGCAAGCATGAGGGAGGACAGAGGGGGTTTGGCAGAGGGAAAGGGAGAGAGAAAATCCTAAGCAGGCACCACACTCAGCAGCACAGAGCCTGAGCCGGGCGGGGCTCAATCCACAACCCTGACATCATGACTTGAGCCAAAATCAAGAGTCAGCTGCTTCACAGACAGAGCTGCCCAGGTGCCCTCAAACTTTCCTTTTATAGTGGTGAGAGAAAAATTCTCTGAAGTCCTGATATACAAGGGAAGCCATTTTAGATTTCCTACTAAGTCAGCAGTATTGTATATAAACTTTGTTCAAGCCAAAAGCCTGATGTATGGCCTGCCATGCATGCATTGTACATCTGGTTTGTGAATGAATAGCCTAAAGGAAAACCATCTTGTCCTTGAGATATTGATCAATGCTCCTGCTCTCTGCATTCCTTGATGCCTGCCTATATACTAATCTATAATCCTTTGAGCTTTTACAAGATGTAAAAAAGTATATAACCCTGTAAACTCATTCATTCTCTAGAACACTTTCTTCCCTGTGTTTCCCAGGTAGCTTTCTTAATTTGAGCTCAAGTAAAACTAATTTTTTTTTTTTTTAATATTAAAGTTCTTTCTCTGGTAACACTGCGGTGACAAAAGCTTCTCGATTTGTGCCTTACTAAGAAAGGTCTTCTCCATTCTGAAACTATATAAAATACCATATTTTTTCTTTATGTATTTAATATTTGATTTTCAAGTCTTTAATTCATTTGGAATTTATTTTGGAAGAAAGATTTTTTTTTTTTAAGATTTTATTTATTTGACAGAGAGAGACACAGCGAGAGAGGGAACACAAGCTGGGGGGGGGGGGGTGCGTGGAGAGGGAGAAGCAGGCTTCCTGCCAAGCAGGGAGCCCAATGTGGGGCTCAATCTCAGGACCCCGGAACCATGACCTGAACAGAAGGCAGACGCTTAACGACTGAGCCACCCAGGTGCCCCTATTTTGGAAGAAAGATTACGAAAGTTGCCAGTTTTTTCTGCACAGGTGGCCTGTTCTCACATACCATACTAAACTTTTGCACCACTGATTTGAAATGATAGCTTTTCCTAAACTAATTTCCATGATAGATTTGGGTTTATTTCTAGATTTTCCCTGTTGCTCTACTGACTAGTATATTAAAAAGATAGTATCAAAACTGCTTCAGTATCTGTACATTTATAATATCTTTTAATATTTAATAGGTGGTCCAACTAATTTTTTATTACATATTAAAATGATAAAACTTTTATATGGAAAAAACTTCAGAAATTAAGATAGAACTCAAAGAGAAACTATTTTATCAACTTAAAACTTTTTGAGAATGGGGCACCTGGGTGGCTCAGTCGTTAAAGCGTCTGCCTTCGGCTCAGGTCATGATCCCAGGGTCCTGGGATCGAGCCCCGCATCGGGCTGCCTGCTCGGCGGGAAGCCTGCTTCTCCCTCTCCCGCTCCCCCTGCTTGTGTTCCCTCTCTCGCTGTGTCTCTCTCTGTTGAATAAATAAATAAAATCTTTAAAAAAAAAAACTTTTTGAGAATGTATAAAATAATAGAAAAAGGACATTTACTAGGCACCTACTGTGTTCAGAAAATTTGTGAGGAATAGAGGTAAAAGACATGATGTTATGTAAGTGAAGATTCATCAGGAGCTTCATTCAAGTGAGGGAGTATGTTTGCTTACACAATCAGTGCTCATTCTGTCTCCATCTTTTGCTCACACAGTCTTTACTTTTTTTTTTTAGATTTTATTTATTTATTTTTGAGAGAGAGCATGAGTGGAGGGGGGAGGGGCAGAGGGAGAAGGAGACTCCCCGCCGAGCAGAGAGCCCGATGTGGGGCTCGATCCCACGACCCTGGGATCATGACCTGAGCCGAAGGCAGACGCTTCACCGACTGAGCCACCCCAGGGCCCCCACACACTGTCTTTACATAATCAGTTTTCATCCTCTGTCTCTTTCTCACATATACTCACAGGCACATGATATTTTGTTAAACTTATACGTACCTGTTTGATTTCTTTAACAGCCAGAGTAACTGAGAACAGGACTGCCTGACTAATGCTGCTCTGACAGGAAATGTTACAGGCTGCTTCAGCTCCTTACATATATATTCCATTTCTTTCACCATTGTCCAGCTGTAACCTGAAATGAAAGAAAGAAATTCAATTTTTCTAACTGGCATCCTAAAAGTCAGTTAAATAAAAAACTAAATTGAATTACCTATGAGTAGGTAATTTATAGGTATTTTATTAAAAGTTCTATTTAGATTCAGAGTGAATTAAAATACCACTTAATACATGAAAATATTTTGAATGGAAAATAGAGACAAAAAATCAAGTCTAAAATCATGCTACAAGTGACCTAGAGCAAAATAATAAAAGGTTAAAATATTAAAAAAGGTTTTACTAATCTCTCAAGCACAAAACAAGCAAATTTTGATACTATGTTTATCTTAAAGATTCTAAGACTCTTCCCTGAGGTATATCTGCCTCATTTTTTTTTTTTTAAGATTTTATTTCTTTGAGAGGGAGAGAGAGACAGAGAGTGAGCAGGAGCACAAAGAACAGCAGGAGGAAGAAGCACACTCCCTGCTGAGCAGGGAGCCTGATGAGGGGCTGAATCCCAGGATCCCAGGATCATGACCTGAGCCGAAGGCAGAGGCCCAACCAACTGAGCCATTTAGGCGCCCCTATCTGCCTCATTAATATTCTCTATAAACATATTTTCCAGGGTGTCTGGGTGGCTCAGTTGGTTAAGCATCTGCCTTCAGCTCAGGTCCTGATCTCAGGGTCCTGGGATTGAGCACGTTGGGCTCCACACTCAGTGCGGAGTCTGCTTGTCTCTCTGCCCCTTCCCCTGCTCATGCTTGCTCTGTGTCTCTCTCAAATAAATAAAATCTTTTTAAAAAGGTAAATAAATAAACTTAGATTTCCCATTGTGTTACTTAAGTATTCTTTTCCAACAGAAAGATGCCTGCTAGGTAGTAGATGTTTAAGAAATAATTATCTTCATGATTATTTTTTGGCTAGTCCAAACTATTTGGATTAGAGTGGAAATAGAAAAATGTCCTTCATTTTTTTAAATGATTTTATTTATTTATTTAGAGAGAGAGCATGTGTGTGAGTGGGGGGAGGGTCAGAGGGAGAGGGAGAGAGAGAGAATCCCAAGCAGACCATGCTTTTAGCATGGAGCCTGACACGGGATTCGATTCCATGTCCCCGAGATGATGACTTGAGCCAAAATCAAGAGTTGGATGCTTAACTGACTGAGCCACCCAGGCATCCCAAAAATGACTTTTATATATGGGTTTTAAATCATGTTAAGAGACTGGAAAACACACTTGCCTGTTTATAAAGGCTTTGGGAAAAAATTTATATTTTGGGGGGCACCTGGGTGGCTCAGTCGGTTGAGCGACAACTCCTGATTTCAGCTCTGGTCATGATCTCAGGGCTGTGAGACTGAGCCCCTCATCAGGTTCTGCGCTGGGTGTGGAGCCTGCTAGGGATTCTTTCTCTTCCTCTCCTTCTGCCTCTCCCCCCTTTGTCTGTCTCTGAAAAAAAAAGAAAGAAAGGAAATAATTATATTTTCAAAATAACAGCCTCTATGGGGCACATGGGTCCCTGGTGATGCAGTGGGTTAAAGTGCCCGATTCTTGGTTTCTGCTCAGGTGGTGATCTCAGGGTTGTAGGACTGAGCCCCACGTTGGGCTCCGCACTCAGCGTGGAGTCTGCTTGAGACTCTCTCTCCCTCTCCCTCTGCCCCTCCCCTGCAGAATAAATAAATAAATAAATAAATAAATAAATAAATAAATAACAGCCTCTATCAAAAACAGGCTGTAAAAATATTGGTAAATAAAGGAATATTTTACCTGCTTCTCCCTCTGCCTCTGCCTTTGTCTCTCTGTCTTTCTGTCTCTCATGAATAAATACATAAAATCTTAAAAAAAAAAAAAAAAAAAGGAGGGTGCCTGGGTGGCTCAGACAGTTAAGTGTCTGCTTTCGGCTCAGGTCATGATCCCAGGGACCTGGGATGGAGGTCTGCATCAGGCTCCCTGCTCCGCGGGGAGCCTGCTTCTCCCTCTGCCTCTGCCTCTGCTTCTCTCTGTCGCTCATGAATAAATAAATAAAATCTTTTTTTTAAAAAAAGGAATATTTTATAGAAAGCCTATGTGAATATGTTAGTTTAGCAGCTAAATTCCTCATGAAAGAAGGGCAATGTTCTGCTTTCCTTGAAAATCTGAAAAACTGTATCTTTGTAATTAGAAAAAGGGATTGCTAACAGAAGCTGTATTTACGTGACTATAAATTTATAAACTCTTTTCTAAATCTGTGAAATAAGGGGTGCCTGGGTGGCTCAGTCAGTTGGGCAGCTGACTCTTGATTTCTGCTTGGGTTGCAATCTCGGGGTTGTGAGATCTGGCTCCAAGCTCAGCATGGAGTCTCCTTGGGATTCTCTCTCTCCCTCTCCCTCTGCCCCTCCCCCCACTCGCATGCACAGCTCCCCCCAAAATCTGTGACATAAGAAATAAGGAAGCATAAAGCACATGTTGGTAATGACAAGAGGGCAATGGGAAAAAAGCAGCCTGGACACATTCAACACCAAAATGACTTCAAAATCCAGATATAGTCTAATTCAGTTAAAGCTTGAGGTTAAGCCAGAATTATACTAAACAGCGACAAAAGGAGTTTAGAGTCAGTAAGGAAGTTACTCAACTATTTCTAGTTTACCTTATTTAAACACTTTGAAGTATAAGCAATATTCCTTAATGAAACTAATAAAAATTAAAATGATTAAAAAATTAGAATTATGGTAAAGCATATTATTCTTTGTCTCAATCACATCAATTGCTGGCCCAGAGGGTTAGAACCTAAATGTCACTACTCACTAGATAGCAGTTACTCTAATCTTATGTTGGACTAAAAAGTTAACATCTAAAAACAATAATTGCAGGGGCGCCTAGGTGGCTCAGTCGGTTGGGCCTCTGCCTTCAGCTCAAGTCATGATCCCAGGGTCCTGGGATTAAGCCCCATGTTGGGCTCCCTGCTCAGCAGGGAACCTGCTTCTCCCTCTGCCGCTCCGCCTGCTTATGCTCTCTCCCTCTGTCAAATAAATAAATAAAATCTTTAAAAAAAACCCAATTATTGATAATAAGTAAAAGATGAATTCCCTGAACACAGGATAAAGACTAACATCTCCATAGGCTCTAAATACCTTCTTAATTTATTTTTACCGTGTGGACAGGTGCTCCAGAGCATCTGATTGCTTACGAGCTGTTTACCTGTAAATCACTGCCTAGGGATATATGAAGAAATAAAAAGATGAACCCAAATAGCATAAGCAGTTTCAACCAGGAAAAAGAAGCTGAATGTCAAGTCGATCCTGAAGTGAAGAGGTGAAAGGAAAGAAGGGATCCAGCCTAGAGAAGAGTCTCATGGCCTCCCACTCCCCTGTCCAGCCAAAGAGAGGAAACTAGCAGTCTACTTGTGGAGCCCCTTTCAGTGTCCATGGAGTAGAACTTGTGCTCTTCAACAACACTCCCCCAACTTCTGGCCTCACATCACCGGAGAAGTTTTTGTTACTACTTTATCTTTCATCTGACATTGGAAGTTTGCTCCAAGGTAAAAAGAAAAAAAAAGTATAGGATGTTTTGCAAGTTCAAAGAGACCAACTCAGGATTTGTTTAAAGTTTATAGAGGCGGCTTTGGTTAATCTAGACCATGCAAATTTCCCATCGAAGTTTGGTGACACACTGTCACCAACAAATGCAGTCTATCTGAAATAAACGAAAGAGTCATACAGATGCCTTTAGGGCCAGACCTTTATCTCCATTAGGCTCTTAGATTGTGGAATAAGTTTTTGGTTTTGTATTTAAACCTGTTATTTTTATATTTTGAGTGGATTTTAATTTGACCAATAAGAAATACATTTTAAAAATCATTACCTTCATTGACTTTCTCAGGATGCCATCCTGTTGTCCAACCCAGAGAAAATGTCACATCAGGAAAGAAGGATGTTACCATGTCTATAAAAGGTTTTGCATCCACTACCCTGCTATTTCCATTTGGACCCGGAAGAATATCAGCATTAATCCACACAGGACGTTTCAGATGCCTCTTCACACTCTCCAGGAGCATCATGGATGGTTCTACAGCTGCCAGACTAAAAACATAGTTGTTGTCAATGAGACGTATTCCTAAAGTAAAAGTAAAAAGTTCTTTCAGACTAGTGGTTTCAATGTTTTCAACTTCCTAACAAAAGTGTAATATGATAATGCCTGAATTAAATAAAATCAAAGATCATATAGCACCAGAGGAGAAAGTTAATATATGCCGTATCTCAAAATGTTGATTTATACTTATTATTCATGAGGATACCTTAAAGGTTCTATAAATACATGAATAATGCCACTACTTGTAGACAGGCTGAAGTTTCAAAACTCTGTATTAAGAACACTCAGTATAAAATAATTTAAGAAAAGACATAAATATTCACTCATTAGAGAATGTATAAATAAGACTTAAAAATTAGATATACTCATAACCTGAAAATTCACATTTATGAAAATACCTACAGTACACCCAGGCACTGTGTCTCTAATACTGACTCATAACCCTAGAGAAAAGAGCCTCTTTTCCTTCATGTATTCTTTTAAATTTGGATGCATAAATATGTTTCTAAAACTGATTGCAAAGTATAAAATTATAACATCCTCTTAAAGCTTTTATACATTTCATAAACATCTTTTCTAGAAACTAGAGACAACTATATTTTAGTTACTATTTATTTATTTATTTATAAAGATTTTATTTATTTATTTGACAGAGAGAGAGAGATAGTGTCGAGAGAGGGAACACAAGCAGGGGGAGTGTGAGAGGGAGAAGCAGGCTCCCCTCTGAGCAGGGAGCCCGATGCAGGGCTGGATCCCAGGACCCTGGGATCACGACCTGAGCCCAAGGCAGACACTTAACGACTGAGCCACCCAGGCACCCTATTTTTTTTTTTTAAGATTTTATTTATTCATTTGACAGAGAGAGAGTGAGCGAGCACAAGCAAGGGGAGTGGCAGGCAGAGGGAGAGGGAGAAGCAGACTCCCCAGTGAGCAGGGAGACCGATGTAGGGCCCGATCCCTGGGATCACAACCCAAGCCAAAGGCAGTCACTCAACCAACTGAGCCACCCAGGTACCCCTTTAGTTACTATTTAAATAAAAAAGCTCTTTTTACTTTTCTGTACATCTATTCTAACTGACATCTATAGATTTTGAAACAGTAAGGTTTTAATCAGCCTACATAAATTTTACTTATTTTTTAAGATATATTTATTTATTTATTTTAGAGAGAGAGAGAGAGAGAGAGAGGGAGCAAGGGGAGGGGCAGAGGGAGAGGAGGAGAGAGAATCCTCAAGCAGACTCCCTGCTGAGAGCAGAGCCCAACGCAGGGCTCCATCATAGGACCCTGAGATCATGACCTGAGACAAAATCAAGAGTTGGACACTTAACCACCTAAGTCACTCAGGTGCCCCCATAAATTTTACTTTTAAAAATAAATACACAAACTTTACTGGACTACTACACTACTTATAATTCTGAATCTCTTCTGAACCTTTAAGGCCTAAGTTTGCTTCTGAGAAAATTAGCTTTTAATGACTACTACAGTGGGAGGCTAACTTGGGGAGATGGCTGTTGGAGGGGAGAACATTCAGTACCCTCTCCTCACATTTCCATCTTTCTTAAGGGATTGAGTCCTCCTGCCTATGTTTCCACCACTCTTCAACTCACTCCTTTCAGGCCTCCTACTCTAAGAAGAGAAACTGATAACCTCATTATTTATTAGGTCATATTTATTAGTGAGCAAGGATACTGCTCATTAAAACCAGAGGAAGCCAGCCTCCAGCCTGTCACTGCTCCCATGTAGTGAGCTTCTTTTTGTTCATTCTTCTCCCTCTGAAACGGAGGCCCTAGATGTTAGTGGATTACTAAACTCTAATGCTGGACCTTGCAGACTTTAATTCAGATGCTGTCATTTCTCTGTCTCAAATGCTTTTTGCCTTGATCAAAATCAGTGCCATGTTAAAACCCACAATTCTAAGATCTGGCACCCCCATTTTTGGTAGCAAGCAACTTATACCTGTGACTCCAAAGCGTGCTTGTCTGCAAGTCCTGCAGCAGCAGCCAGGTTCCTGTGGGGTTCTGCTCTTCATGGTGGAAGAGGAGGAAAACCTGAACTAATCCATGCACATCTGCCACCAACATCTCTTTTTCCAGAAAGAATTCTGATTTCTTAAGAAATTTGGTGTCTGTGGAGGTTCGGTTAAACACTAATTTCCAGTTTACATTCGGCGGGGAGATTCTTAGGCTTTCTCAATTTAGTAAGGTGATATAGGGCTGTTCAATAATGGTTTACTACTGGTTAACATCAGCAGACAGCATATTCTCCCCAAAATTGAAATTACACCACGTATATGAAGTGTCTACTATGTGCAAAGCACCGTGCAGTTAAACCTAAGGAGTTACGACACAGAACATAATGAAAAACAATTTAATATATGTATTCTATTTTTATATGTAAATATTTTAATTATTGCTAATATAGACTATGTTAATGCTACTTTCCCTTATCAATAACTTAAATAAGAAAATAAAACCTATATTAAGAAAAACCTAAAACCTTACTAAAGAAAATAAAACTTTTTGTGCTGTAGTTTTTATATTTCTGGAACAGAAAGTTAACAAAACAATGATAAAATTCTTCTTGAAGAGTAAATGTTGAGGAAAAGCCATATCATTTTGGGGGAAAAAAAAAAAAGACTGAGGATGTATTTTGCCCAACAGCAACATATAATGTATACTTCAAAGAATAACATACCATGTTCCAGATAAAATTTTAGTACTTAGTTATTATTTGTATACCAAACAAAATAACTTAGAGGCATAAAATAAGAACTAGTAAAATTTGACTAATAGGTCCATCAGCTCCTGTTACAGAGGTAGTACAGAGTTCTGGTTCACAGTGAGAACTCTCCAGCCAGGCTGGTAGATTTCCTACCAACTATGTGACAACAAGCAGTCTACTTCCTACTCTGCCTCTGTTTCCTCATCTGGAAGTGAGGATAATAGCAATAAGCTGCCTCCCAGGATTGTTGAGTATTAAATGAACTAACGCATTCAGTGCTCTTAGAAAAGTGTCTGACACAGTATACATGTTCATATAACTGTTAGTTAAATTAATTCCCCTTCAACTATGTTATGACCAAAAACTTTGCAAAATCCTTTTCTTAGTGGCTCAGCTCATGTGTGTGTGGTAGCTGCTAGGAACGAATGAGTTGATCTGACTAGTGAGGAGCCAAAGAATGTATCAGAAAGAACAATTCAATGGGGAATAGTAAACATACACATGAAAAGGCAAGGATAGCTAAAACTCTGAGTTACCAAATATTAAAGATCAAATGCTTTATTTCACGGTACAGAGAAAACTGAACTAGCTCCAGGAAACCTGGGATGTCGTCCTAGCTCAGCTGTCAAGTTCAGCTATTGTTCTTGGGTCAATTATTTAACTTCTCTGGGACTAAGTCTCTTTGTCAATAAAGTAGAGTTGGGCCATTCGCCACTCTAAGTGCTTTAAGATCTTAAAATAGTTCTCTCGGGGGGGGGGGGGGGCCTGGGTGGCTTAGTCGGTTAAGCGCCTGCCTTCGGCTCAGGTTGTGATCCCAGGGTCCTGGCATTGAGCCACGTATAGGGGCTCCCTGCTCAGCAGGGAGTCTGCTTCTCCCTCTCCTTTCCTCCTGGCTTGTGCTCTCTCTCACTCACTCTCTCAAATAAATAAATAAAATCTTTAAAAAAAAAAAGCTCTCTCATTTACCAAGAGTGTAATGAGGTTTACTGGTATATTTAGCCCTACAACAAACAAGAGTCACCTTAATAATTCTGTAAGTAAGATTTCCAAATCTTTATTAATTTCTTGAGAATATTCAATTTAAAAATATTGTTCATAGATAAGGTAGGTTTACCACAAATCCTGGATTTTCTTTTCTTTTCTTTTTTTTAAAGATTTTATTTATTTGAGAGAGAGTGAGCGAGAGAGAGCACAAGCTGGGAGGAGAGGCAGAGTGACAGGGAGAAGCAGATTCACCACTGAGCAGGGAGCCCGATGCGGGGCTCAATCCCAGGGCCCTAGGATTATGACCTGAGCCGAAGGCAGATGCTTAACCCACTGAGCCACCCAGGTGCCCGAAATCCTAGATCTTCGTAGCAGTCACCTTCATGGGACTTATGGTGAGCTTTTGTGATATCACACTATATTCCTGGCTTTATCTATAATTTTTACACTGCCAAAATACCACAAAAGTAAAATTTTCCATGACAGCCAAAGAAAAGGAAATAACACTTAGTCTTGCTCTTCATTGTCAATGCTTCCAAAATACTATTTATAAAGAACTCTTGGGTTATTGAAAGACTTTTAGATAATTCTCCATATACAAATATAACATAAATCAAGTAGGATAAGCATTAACTACCCAAACTACTACCAACTCTCTCTCTCAGACGATTTTTTTTTTTTTAAGAGGGGGAGTGGGGGGTGGGCAGAGGGAGAGACAGAATCTTAGGCAGGCTCCATGCCCAGCACTTTGCACAACTCAGGACTTGATCTCACAACCCTAAGATCATGACCTGAGCCAAAATCAAGAGTCTGATGCTTAACTGACTGAGCCACCCAGGTTTCCCTCAGACTACCTTTTTTTTTTTTTAAGATTTTATTTATTTATTTGATGCAGAGAGACACAGCAAGAGCGGGAACACAAGCAAGGGGAGTGGGGAGAGGAAGAAGCAGGCCTCCTGCAGAGCAGGGAGCCCAAGGTGGGCCTCAATCCCAGGACCTGGGATCATGACCTGAGCCAAAGGCAGACGCTTAACGACTGAGCCACCCAGGCGCCCTCCCCTCGGACTACTTTAAATGAAAGTAGCATTTTAAATTTACCATTCTATTATCACAATGGTCACTTATGATAAATTCCTTTGTAAAAATGAACTTAATTTTAGCCTCAAAGGGTTCCTAAGAAACAATTTAAGCAACCAACTCAATAGGTCTTAGGTCCCTTCTTGAAACATATTAGTTTGTAATTCCATTTTCAGTTTAAAGTATAAAGTTAGTCAAGCACAGATATATGAAGCTATTAATCTTTTAATTTCGTTGTTACTCTCTGACAACTAAAAGACTGAAAATGTTTATACAAATACCTCTTGAAATCCAGCTTGATGCCTTTATTGCTTTTTATAACTGCAGTCAGCCACTCCTGTAAAGTATTATCACTATTTGTTTCAGGAGGATGGGCCATGATTGGTTGGCTATATTCTGATCCATCACTTGGAAGAAGGACATCGGCCTCTATCATGTGAGCAGTGCCTGTCCAAATAAAAGAACTTAAGTTAACGCTAATAAAATAGGGACTGAAGAAGATGTCATGTCCAGTAGCCTTTTGAGGAAGATAAAAACTAACATTTACTGAATAACTACTAAGTACCAGGTACCGTACTAGACCTTCATATGGTTGTTTGTTTCACAGATGAGCAAACAGGTGAAGAGTTAAATGCCTTTCTGTAGATCATACAGCTCTTAAGCTATTGTTAAAATATTTAATTTCTGGGCAGAGGAATAGGGGACCCTATTCCAACCGGTCCCGGAATTGAGCTGGATATCTATGAGACCACTCTGAACACCCATGAAATCAGCCTGAGATGTAAGAAGATAGATCTGGATCTCTACAAACAGAATATCGCAGGCAGTTGGTTTCAAGGTATGAAGTGGGGAGCCATGATTCCAGGGGTAGATATCGGAGGATAAACGGGAGGGGGAGGGAGCCGAGGCTTCAGGATCCTGCACCACCAGTGAGTGATAGCCTCCCGTGCTGGGGACCGGGCATAGACTCGCAGACTGGTAGCAATGGGGAAAAGACTTTAGGGCAGCCCCTGGGACTGAAACCAAGAGCGGCGGGCTGCATGTATGAACTGGAGGTGGCTGGCAGTTTTAGAAGCACAAAGGGGAGAGACACATCCCGACCTGGAGGCGAGGACTGGGAGTGCTGCTGAGGGGCGCACAACCCAGGACGCTGCAGTTTATAGCAGCACAGACAGGAACGGAGATAGTGTGGCCTGGAGAACTCACTGAAGAACAAACTGCGATCTCTCCGCTCTGAGGCAGAGGGTTGGAAACGATCTCTTCTGCTCTGACTCTCGGAAGAGATGCAGAAAGCCTCCAGGGAAAGCCGCCAGAGAACAAAAGGCCCCCAAAACCAGTTTTCACTGAGACTATCCCCCGCCACAGGGGGCAGGGCAACTCTGACCAAACAGGTTTGCCTGAGTAACAGCATGGCAGGCCCGTCCCCCAGAAGACAGGCTGGAAGAACAAGAGGCCAGCAACCCTAAGGTCCCTATAAAACAGGTGCATCTTCCTTGGGTTGTGGTCAATAATTTGGACTCTGTATATTCCCTCAACCACCCCTCAACAAAATGACTAGGAGGAGGAACCCCCAAAATAGGAAAGACTCAGAGACTGTGACTACTTCTGCCACAGATTTACAAATGGATACAGATATAACCAAGATGTTGGAGATGGAATTCAGGGTAGCAATTGTGAAGATAATAGCTAGAATGGAGAAATCCATTAATGGCAACATAGAGTCTCAGGGCAGAAATGAAAGATGAATTGGCAGAACTTAAAAATGCTATTAATGAGATTCAATCTAATCTAGATTCTAACAGCTAGGGTAAGCAAGGCAGAAGAATGAATTAGTGATCTAGAAGACCAATTAATAGACAAGAAGGAAAAAGAGGAAACCAGGGAAAAACAACTCAAAATCCATGAAAATAGAATCAGAGAAATAAGTGACACCATGAAACGTTCCAATGTCAGAATTATTGGAATCCCTGAGGGGGAGGAGAGAGAGAAAGGACTAGAATATATATTTGAGCAAATCGTAGATGAGAACTTCCCTAATCTGGGGAATGAAACAAACATTCATGTCCTAGAGGCAGAGAGGACCCCTCCCAAGATCAAGGAAAACAGGCCAATGCTCCGGTATATAATAGTAAAACTCGCAAATCTTAGAACCAAGGAAACCATCTTAAGGGCAGTTATGGGGAAGAGATTCCTTACATACAGAGGGAGGAACATCAGAATAATGTCAGACCTATCCACAGAGACCTGGCAAGCCAGAAAGGGCTGGCAAGGCATATTCAGGGTACTAAACGAGAAGACCATGCAGCCAAGAATACTTTGTCCGGCAAGGCTGTCATTTAGAACAGATGGAGAGATGCAGAGCTTCAAAGACTGGCAGAAACTGAAAGAATATGGGATCACTAAGCCGGCCCTGCAAGAAATATAAAGGGGGGTTCTATAAAAGAAGAAAGACCCCAAGAGTGATATAGAACAGAAATTTACAGAGACAATCTATAAAAACAGGGTCTTCACAGGCAACATGATGACAATAAATTCATATCTTTTAATAATCACTCTCAACGTGAACAGCTTAAATGGTCCCATAAAACGGCACAGGGTTGTAGAATGGATAAAAAGACAGGACCCATCCATATACTGTCTACAGGAGACTCATTTTGAACCTAAAGATACATCTAGACTGAAAATGAAGGGATGGAGTTCCATCTTCCAGGCCAAAGGACCTCAAAAGAAAGCTGGGCTAGCAATTCTTATATCAGACAAATTAGATTTTAAGCTAAAGACTGTAGTTAGAGACACAGAAGGACACTATATCATTCTTAAAGGGTCTATCCAACAAGAAGATCTAACAATTATAAATATCTATGCCACCAACATGGGAGCAGCCATCTACATAAGCCAACTGTTAACCAAAATGAAGAGTCATATTGACAACAATACGTTAATTGTAGGAGACCTCAGTACTCCACCCTCAGCAATAGACAGATCATCTAAACAGAAAATCAACAAAGAAACACAAGCTTTGAATGACACCCTAGACCAGATAGACCTCATAGATATATACAAAACATTCCACCCTAAAACAAGAGAATACTCATTCTTCCCGAGTGTACACGGAACTTTCTCCAGAATAGATCACATACTGGGTCACAAATCAGGTCTCAACCGATACCAAAAGACTGAGATTATTCCCTGCATATTCTCAGACCATAATGCTTTAAAACTGGAACTCAATCACAAGAAAACATTTGGAAGAAATTAAAACACTTGGAAGCTAAGGACCACTCTGCTCAAGAATGTTTGGGTCAACCAAGAAATCAAAGAAGAACTTAAACAATTCATGGAAACCAATGAGAACGAAAACACATCCGTCCAAAACCTATGGGATACTGCAAAGGCAGTCCTAAGGGGGAAATACATAGCCATCCAAGCCTCACTCAAAAAAACAGAAAAATCCCGAATTCACCAACTAACACTACACCTTAAAGAACTAGAGAAAAAGCAACAAACGATGCCTAAGCCACACATTAGAAGAGAAATAATTAAGATTAGAGCAGAGACTAATGAATTAGAAACCAGAAACACAGTAGATCAGATCAACGAAACTAGAAGCTGGTTCTTTGAAAGAATTAATAAGATCGATAAACCATTGGCCAGACTTATCCAAAAGAAAAGAGAAAGGACCCAAATTAATAAAATTATGAATGAAAGGGGAGAGAGCACGACTAACACCAAGGAAATAGAAACAATTATTAGAAATTACTATCAACAACTATATGCCAATAAATTGAGCAACCTGGATGAAATGGATGCCTTCCTGGAAACCTATAAACTCCCAAGACTGAAACAGGAAGAAATTGACAACCTGAATAGGCCAATAACCAGTAACGAGATTGAAGCAGTGATCAAAAACCGCCCAAAAAACAAGAGTCCAGGGCCTGATGGATTCCCTGGGGAATTCTACCAAATATTCAAAGAAGAAATAATATGTACCCCCTGAAGCTGTTTCAAAAAATAGAAACAGAAGGAAAGCTTCCAGACTCGTTCTATGAGGCCAGCATTACCTTAATTCCCAAACCATGCAAAGACCCCATCAAAAAAGGAGAATTTCAGACTGATAGCCCTGAAGAATATGGATTCCAAAATCCTCAACAAAATCCTAGCTAATAGGATCCAACAATACATTTAAAGGATCATCCACCACGACCAAGTGGGATTTATCCCAGGGATGCAAGGGTGGTTCAACATTCGCAAATCAGTGTGATAGAACACATTAATAAGAGGAGAGAGAAGAACCATATGGTCCTCTCAATTGATGGAGAAAAAGCATTTGACAAAATACAACATCCCTTCCTGATTAAAACTCTTCAGAGTATAGGGATAGAGGCAACATTCCTCAAGTTCATAAAATCCATCTACGAAAAACCCATGGCGAATATCATCCTCAATGGGGAAAAGCTGAGAGCCTTTCCCTTAAGATCAGGAACACGTCAAGGATGCCCACTTTCACCACTATTGTTCAACATAGTATTAGAAGTCCTAGCAACAGCAATCAGACAACAAAAAGAAATAAATGGTATTCAAATTGGCAAAGAAGAAGTCAAACTCTCTCTCTTCACAGATGACATGATACTTTATGTGGAAAATCCAAAAGACTCCACCCCCAAATTACTAGAACTCATACAGCAATTCAGTAATGTGGCAGGATACAAAATCAATGCACAGAAATCAGTTGTGGGGCACCTGGGTGGCTCAGTCATTAAGCGTCTGCCTTCGGCTCAGGTCATGGTCCCAGGGTCCTGGGATCGAGTCCCACATCGGGCTCCCTGCTCAGCGGGAAGCCTGCTTCTCCCTCTCCCACTCCCCCTGCTTGTGTTCCTGCTCTCACTCTCTCTCTGTCAAATAAATAAATAAAAATCTTAAAAAAAAAAAAAAACTTTAAAAAAAAAAAAAAAGAAATCAGTTGCTTTCTTATACACTAACAATGCAACTGTAGAAAGAGAAATTAGAGAAACGATTCCATTTACAGTAGCACTGAAAACCATAAGATACCTCGGAATAAACCTAACCAAAGAGGTAAAGGATCTATACTCTAGGAACTACAGAACACTCATGAAGGAAATTGAAGAGGACACAAAAAGATGGAAAACATTCCATGCTCATGGATTGGAAGAATAAACATTGTTAAAATGTCTATGCTACTCAGAGCAATCTATACCTTCAACGCCATCCCAATCAAAATTCCAACGACAAGAGAAATTAAAGAAACTATTCCATTTACAATAGCACCAAAAACCATAAGATACCTCAGAATAAACCTAACCAAAGAGGTAAAGGATCTATACTCTAGGAACTACAAAACACTCATGAAAGAAATTGAAGAAGACACAAAAAGATGGAAAAATATTCCATGCTCATGGATCGGAAGAATAAACATTGTTAAAATGTCT